ATAGATAATTTACCATCGATGCGATTCTACTTTCAAGCGATGACACGTGTTTTTCGTTATCGAGATTGTTGACAAATTACATTCTATCTAAAGGTTGATAAATTTTTCTGATTTTCGCGTTAACGAAAGCGAGGTAAACGTGTCGTCCACGTGCTTGTTTCGTTAATTCAGCGAATCAAACGAGCGTTCGATTCAACCCTTTTTGTTTAGGGGTAAACTTTCGGACAAAATCGAACGTGTCGTACTAACGTTTACAACGTTCACTTTATATCGAATTAACGAGGATTTTACTAGGGATCTTTTGACGTGGAACAGCTGATTCTATACGCTACTCGTATAACTATTCTCAACATCAAGATGGCTACAGTCGCAAGTGCACAGTGAGGGTTGTATAATATTTGGCATATATCGCCAGTTTTACGACGTTTGGAGCCGTTGTCATTGATATTTGATATTTTCGGTAAATATTTCTATGCCTTTTCACGTAGAACGCGCATCGATTTGTTTAGGTAATTAAATAGAAAGTGGATAAAATCGGAAGCCTGTAAATTGTCAGTGACATCTCGCGAACATGATATAGCAGACGCCTCTAATTGCTTTTAATAGGTTTTCTTCGAGAACTCAGCGTATCGCGTTGTCGCGACGTTTGTCAAGCTTTACCTGCTGCAGACAAACGATTAATTAATGAAAATATTAATGAGAATACCTGTTATTAATATCGATGCAACGCTAATTATGCCTCGACCACTTTGTAACAAGATTTTATCATTTATTTATCACGAAATTATTTCACCGCGTTGTCACTTGACAATTTCTTTTGAATCGTTCCTCTGAATTACTATCGTCTTACATCGCCTATGTCAAAGAAGCATATGTTATGGATTTAGCAGCTTACGTCCTTGCAGTTTTATGAAATGAGTATGCATGTACGTATTGTGTTTTGTGTCTTCAATCAAAACAAGAGTTTTTTTCTTTTGCTAACCAACAAATTGACATGTTATTCATTTGCAATAATTTGTTTAAAAATTAAGTTGTCATGTCTTTCTTTTTCATATCTTTTATAACAATTGTATACTTGAATTTGTTTTACATATGAATAAATGAATATATTCATAAATGAGATATATATGTAGTGAAAATAATTATTGGATGCAAATGTATGAAATTTTATAAAGTA